GCAACCTTGTCTGGGACTTGCTGTTTCTGGACTCTAGTGCTGCTGCTGTCCTCTGGCTTCTGGAGACCCGGGGATGAGGAGCAGGGTTTTGCACGGGTGGAATCTTATGCCTGTTGGTATTTACCATTGCAGGGTAAGGCATAGACCTGTCCTATATGTAGGTTTAGTGGCTGAAGCCTCTAATTTTCTCTGGTTGGCTTTGTTTACTCAGCAGAAGACCTTAAAGCAGCTTTCCTGCTTCTGCAGGGATCTCAGAGACTGGTGATGCCACAGGCAGGGTGAAAGCAGGGAACGCTGGGGCTCATGCACAAAGCTGTCTTGAATAATCTTTCCTCTTCTCCAAAAGAGGCAGTGCTGTACTCCCTCTGCCCGCATGCGCGACGCACTCCAATGGCAAGAGCTAGGCTGCCCCTCTAACATCTCTAATCTCTCCTCCACAAAGTGAGCAGCTCCCAGGATGGGTGCAGTGGGTTTGGAGAGGCTTCTGTGGTTTTATGAGAATGCTGTACATGGGAGGTTGATTTTTCTTTGTACTTGGTGACATGTCATCTTTGCTTCAGTGGTTAGTTTCTGGATACCATGGTTTAAAATAGAGATGTAGACAAATTGGCAAAAGGCCAGGGGAAAGTAACACTAATTGTCAGAGCTTTAGAAAACATGACCTCTGAGGAGAGGCTGAGGAAATAGGTGCATTTAATCTAGGCAAGACCGCATTGGTGGGGGAGGGAGAGGGAAGTCATAGTTTCTTGGTACATAAAAGCTGTTGTTAGGGAAGGATGATTGATTTATTCTCTCACTGTCATTGGGGGGGAAATGATGAGACAAAACTACATTTACACTGCAGAGGCGGATAAGTTTGGATAAAAGTTTAGTTAGGAAAAGCTTTCAGTGCAGTGAAATGCAGGAAGAGATTGTCCAGGGGAGATGTAGAATTTCTGACACAGGTGATTTAAAGAAACTCTGGTCTGCTTCCATGAAAGATATGGGCTGTGTAACCTCCCAAGATCCCTGTTAGTGCCTCTGTTCCTGTAGTTTAGGCTAAAAGGTAGGTTTGAGGCTGATACCTGTCCCTTAGCAACCGCAAGCCTTGGCTCTGCCAGCATTGCCAGGTTCACGTGGTCAGAAATACATGGACCAGACTCCTCAAAGCACTGGTGTGGCTTCAGTGGATGATAAAGTAAGCTCTGTTTACCTGCCTGCTGTGTTTGAGTCTTTTTGGCTGCGTCTGTATTGCAATTGGAGATCTGGTAGCAGAGAAACCCAAGCTTGCTGTAGTCTGACTTTCTTGGGTAGGAGTGAAGAGAGGGCAGCTTGGACCTTAGTACACGGCAGTTCCTCAAGTAAGCATTCACCACCTGGAGACCTATTACACTGAATGTTGTGCGATTGTCTTCATTGCTCCCTGCAGCTGAGATACCAGGCAGAGATCTGGAAGAGGTGTCCTGATCCAGGCTGCCATCACCTCTGGCTGTAGTGCAGGCTGACACAAGCTTGGAAACATGACCTTTCCTCTGCAGTTGTGCCATAGGAATTACTTCTGTACCAACGTGACTCTAGGTTCTGGGTCTTTTAAGCATTATAAAATAAAATGTGAAAGTAATAATTGGTTGCTGGGAAAATATTGTGGATTAGCACAACTTGTACTCTACCTTGACTGTTTTTATATTTTACAAGTATTACTTGCAGAAAAAGGGCAAGTTTTATTATAACTTTTCTGTCTGCTTCCCTTCCAACTTCCAGATTACATTTTTCACAGGTATCAAACTACTTTCAGGACAAAATGTTGGTGATTTCTCCAGTGGTGGTGAGAAATGGGGACATGTGAGTGAGCCATTCACTGGTGAAAGTGGCAGAATTTCTCACACTCCCTCATTTGTGATCTTGCCTACGAATCTTCCAGGCATAAGCTTTTTCTTTAAGGGGAGAAGGTCTAGTTTTTTGCACCCATTGGCAAGGCACAGATAAAAGCATGGACCTTTAACATCAGGTTTACTTCTTTTGCCTTGTCTCAGACCCACAAATGCAGAGTTCTGCCCTTTTGGACAAATTTACAGATTATATTATCCCATATTTTTAAATACCCTACTTTTGTATCCTTCTTGCCTGAAGCTATTAACATTGGCAGAATTGATGTCCTTTGTTTTATTTTGTGTACTACTTACAGCCTCAATGTTGGACACCAGCCGATCTAGTTTTTCACTGGGCTGCAGTAAGAGGTAGGGCATGATTTTTCTGTTGGCTGTGTACATGCTCTTGCATCCCTGTCCTGAGGAGACTGTGAGCCAGTCTTCACAACAGGAATGGAGAAGGTGAAATGGCTTCCCTGAGATCGAGCTAAGAATAGGTCCAGTAAAGGAGGGACTTTGCATACCTTCATCTTTGGAGTATTTGTATTACAATCATGCTTCTGCCTGTGGGTTGATAGGCACACACCCCAGGGGTTGCAAATGGGCAGTGAAGCCTCCCACTTGGCATGACTGATGAGTTGTAGAGGTCCTGGCAGTGCCCAGAGTGGCCAAGAGGAACATTGCTGACTGCGTGCGGGAGCTGGGTGCAGCTGAGCCCAGGCTGATGGGGAGCAGCATGGCTGATCTCCACTCCAGCATTTGTCTTGGAGCTGGGAGTCAGGAGGTCTGGATCTTATCCATGGCTCTGACACTGAGTCACTGCATGACCTCAGGCGCTCAGATACCATGGTGATGAACACAGCACAAATGTCTAGACAGATAGATTGGATTGGATAGACTCTGTATTTGACAAATATTTGTATATCACCACTGTCAGTGCTCCCCTGCTATAGCTACCAAGCCTGCTGGTTTCAGTGGGTCTCCTACACAGCAGTGGGAGGAAGGACCACTTTTTGCACTAAGGAAGGAGAGGACACGTAACCACTGTGAGGCAAGTACCGGTCACGACAGACTGGAAGCAAAGCAGGCAGTAGGAAACTCTTGCAGGAAACAACACTGCATGGCAGAAAGGCTCATGAGTCGGGTGCTGACTTCTCCCCAGTTCTGCTGCAGTCCTGCATGTGACCCCGTCTTTCCTCCTGTAACCAATTAGTCTCTAAGATCCTCAAGGCAGTAGTGACTTCCTCTTCCTCCTATGGCTTCTATCACTAGGCCCTGATTTCAGGGGGAAAAAAAAAAAAACCAAAACCAAACAAAAAAACCCAAACCCAACAAACCAAAAAAAACTACCAAAGTGAGACTTCCTTAAAAGCTTTCCTGTGCCACTGTCAGCCTCTGGCACAAGGGAGGATGCAGGAGAATCATCTCTCCCCGGAGTGACTCTTGATTATTTCCCCACCTGATTTCTTTGTGAAAGACGAGCACAGCAGTAGAGCAAAGATGTGGCTAGGAGTGTAAGGATTACCCCTGTAAGGATTTTCAGAGGCTCTGCAAGGTGCCCTGAGCAGCTCTGCCGCTGGCACCCCAACAGTGAGTCAGGAGTGCTGAAGAGCACTGCCTCTTTAAGGAGATTTGCATAGCAGGGCCTAATTACAGTTGTTGATTCTAATGTTTTCAGTGTTGTTCATATTCCATTAAAGGATAATGCTGCTTAATTTGCAGCAGAGGGTCTCGGTTAACAGTATAACCAATCACAAGGCAGCCCTAATGACACTACTTCCCCACTTATGGTAACGCATAATTAAAAAATCACTTCATTTCCAGTTGTGTGGTTCTCCCCTCTCCCCCAATCTTCCAATTACTTTTGAAGCCATTTCATGATTATCTTGTAAATATTTCAGCACTTAAATCTACTAATGAGTCCATGGAAGAGTTAATACCTTGAGTGGCATAAACTGCTTGCCATTCCCTTTATAGTACTGCATTGCAAGGAATGATTTTTCCACCTTGCACACGCTTGTGTGGGGTTGGGCTTGTGCTCTGGCTTTGGGGCTGTGGGGATGACAGGGGATGGGTAGCACTCGGGAATCCCATCTCCAGCTACAGGAGGATTTTTGCTGGTTTTGATAGTGGGTGTGTATCTCTGCAAATTGTTCCATGTGGCTTAAATCCCATTGAAAGGGCTATCCTGCTGTCTGGCTGTGGGAGCTGCTAGTCAGAGGGGCTTATGTAGAACCGGGTATGAGTCTGGATCTAGCTGGGATGTCCACACATCTGGAAGAATTGGCTGAAATCTGTTGACCTGTGTCAGTTTTTGCCCTGATTCTACAGGTTTGTGGGAAGTGGGAATACAGCTCTTGCTGTGCTTGGGCAAGGGATGGCAATAGGTCTGGTTGTGACTGCCCTTGTGTGGTGTTTCTTCACAAGCTCATCTTGCATGCTGCAGTCAGTGGCACTTACGTGAGTGTAGCTTGGTCACTGGGTAAGGGAATATCTAAATTTCCCAGAAAACCTGTGCACAGATGTCTACTACAGTTCTGTGGCTGCAGGCAAGAGGATGTGGGGTGCCATGTGTCCTGATACCCATGGTAAATTGGGGAATTTGTTCTCAAATCCAAATGCTGCTCTGAAAAGCCAAATGCTGCTTTCTCACTTCATAGATCTGATCCCTGTACTTATCTGGTATCTTGAGTATTAAAATTCACTTGGGGTTTTCAGACTGAGCACTCAGAGCTGACAGTAATGGAGGAGTGAGCTGGAGTATCTTTCCTGCCCACGTGTGGCATGGGTTTGATTGCTATGTTCTTTGTATGGTCAATCAGTAACACCTTATGCAAGCCCACTGGGAGCCTACTGATGGTCTCTGAAGGCATTATTTGGAATAACCAGAGATAATTGTATAACTAGGGGGTAATTAACTTCCAGGAATAAAAGAATGAAGCTTAGGCTGCACTACTAGGGGTGAGTCTGTAAGGCTGAGAGATAAATCTACTCTTCTCTAATCATTTGAGCACATGTGACTTGGAAATCCTTGATACTTGGGAAATGTGAGGCTGCTTCAAATCATATCCATGCATTTCTAGGCAATTCTGTAACAGCAGGTAAGGGAGGAGGGCTTGAATAGAGTCCTAACCCAGTCCATTTGTGTTTCAGGTAACCCTGTCACAGTGGGAATGAGCATCCATATCTCCAGCATTGACCAGATCTCTGAAGTCAACATGGTAAGTTAGAAAAGGGAAGAAAAAAAAGGCACCTAATAAACTGTTCTTCCATTTTCTGGTTGAGATCTTCTTCCAAGACAATGGATCTTTGGAGCCACCTGAGATCTCAGGGTGCACTTCTGAAAAGCAGGGTAGTCACACCCCTGCTTCCTTCACCTCTTACTACAGATCTTCCCTGCAGCTGAGAAGCTGTTAGAGTAACAGTGACATTTGTCTGGTATTGAAGTTTTTTTCTTCTGCTTTGGACACAAAATTTTGAGGGGTGATGGGAACTCTGATTTAAGATAGAGTTCTTCCTCACTAAAGAATAAGGAATTCAAGGATGATTTATCTATGTCCAGGGTGATGAAAAAGAAAATCGAACATTTAACTGGGCCATAGGAAATAAGTGGGTATTTTTCCCCAAATTTCTTTCTCAGCATGCTGGTTTCAGTCTGAGCTTTGCTTCTTCCACCCTCTGAGTGGCCAGTGTCACTAGAACTGCCTGTCAGTTGTCCCCACAGCCTCAGCCCAGACCCAGGCTGAAGCAATCCTGAACTCACTGAAACAATACTTGCAAGAGAGGACTGGCATGTGGGACCTCTGTGGTACACACCTACCTCTGCTGGTAGTACTTGTGATGTGGTTGGACGTGCTGGAAGAGTGTAGTTCACTTCCTAATGTGGGGTAAATTCTACTAGGGTTAAATGAGTGTCTGTACTGGCACACTGAAGTATCCCTGGTGTTATCTGTGAACGTGTGGGTGGAGGATCTCTGGAGCTAGTGGCCTCTTACCCAGAGTAGATTCTCATCCCTTATCCTTCTGTGCTGGTTATACAGCCACCTCTCCAAGCCATTAATGCTTATGCGTTAAAGTCAATGCAAAATTGTATTTTTTTGGTTGACACAAAGGCAGTAGAAACTTTACAGTCAGCCTGTGCCTGCCAAGTCGAAAAACAGTCAGTGGCTTTTTATGCTTACTGGTGGTAATGTGGCATTTCTTCAGAGATCTATACTGGAAAGGGAGGCATCTAATGGAGATCTGGTTTTGGGTGCACTTATAGACTAGAGCTTTTCATACCGCTGAGAAGAAAAAATCATCTGTTAAGATAACAATTTTGAGGGGTGAAATTTGTTAATTATTTTGGTTATGGTTTGGGTACACATCCAGGCCTGTGCTATCTGTCTCTAAGAAACCCTTAGCACTGAGCAGAGGACATGGATTGCACTTATTTGCCTAACCTTGCCTTCCTCCCTCCTACACAGAGCCTTTTCCTCCAAACCCCTCTCCTTTCCAAGAGGCTGAGTGGAGTGGAAGGCTGGTAGGGACCTCCTGGCAGCAACTCTCCGGTTCCTGACCCATGCAGGAGAATTCTAGGCCTGTTTTGAGCTCTTGCTGTTCAAGTCAATTAAACCCTTGGTCTCCCAGTGCTCCTGTCCTATTTGTCTGTTTTGGGACTCTCCTGGCCCGTTTCTCTGGCCCACCAGCTATTCTGCTGTTGCATGGTGGGGGGAGGGGAGACAAGACAATCTGACTAATTGTTTTGGTTTCCAAACTGCTTGAAAATTCTGAATGCACATGTTAAAATGACCTAGGGTGAAGGGCCAGCCATGAACCTTCAGGTTCTCATATAGAACAGTTTCTTTTGCAGACTCTCTGCTATCATCCCACCATTACTGTAATTATCTGCATGGCATGTTACACCTCACCCTAGTAGCAGTGACACTGCACAGTGTACAATCAGAAATTCAGGGACAGACCTATGTCCCCGTTGCATTGGATAGCTATGCTTGAGCTTAGACTCAACTTAGAAGAGCCAGATGGCTTAACCTAGTTCCATCTATCTTGTCTGTCAGGGCAGAGCTCAACTTTGAGTCATCTCTTCCCCCAGTCTCAATTTGGACCTGAATTTTGCTATGTGATGAACCAGCTGTCATCCTCCTTGCTAGAGCCAGCATGAACAATTTGGGGTCTGGGCCTGTAGCTTAAGGCCTCAGCTTGCACAAACGTAGCTGGGAGTGAGGGATATGGTTCTCATCTTACCTATAACATCTGCCCTGGTCTTCCTCTGTAGACTTGAGAAGATAGCTGAGCACTGCAGAGGCTGGTTCAGAATGAACCTCCCTCCTGGAGATGTGCCCATGGACTATAAAGATTGATCAAGTGCTTTGTCATACACCTGTTGTGGTGCGGCTGTGGCTGTGGCCAGGCATGCTGTGTCCTAGGCTAGTAGCCATTCTCTTAGCAACACTTTTCAACCCTTGCCATGTGAATGTGATGCTCTCCCCTCCCCAGTGAGCACCTGCTTCCCTCTGCCACAGGATGGCTGAGGCAAGTGTGTGTGCTTGAGGCTGCAGACAAACAGCAACAATAATATCTCTGTGGGGTGCATGGGACAGCAGGCTTCCTGGCATGGACCGTCATCCGCATGCTGCTCTGGGTCTTGCAGAATTTAGGCAGCGCTATTGATGGACATTGAGTGTTTTGATGGTTGTGGCACGCCTGTAATCAGGCTGGACACCAGGCACTGCTCGTGTTGACACTGTGAAGGTATGTCACTTCTGGGCTTTTGATTATCCCTCCTGGCTCTCTGTTCAACTTGACAAGCATGATCTCCTGCTTATTCTTCCTACATGTGTTAGGGCGAGGCAGGGGGGGAAAGGGGGTCAAAGTAACTATATGTGAACCTACTCGAGATCAAGATCTTAAAGCACCATGGTGAGACAGCTTCAAAAAGTGGCTAAAAAATCAGAATAATCTTAAAGAACAAACATTTAGGGAGCAGAGGAGTTATCATGTGATGTAAATTTCCAGGCTGAAGGGATTTTATGTGCATCATTCTTGTGTGTGACTGATGCTCCAGGGAAAGGGTTGTGTCTTACGCCTGCTCTGGACATGGATTCTGGCAAGAAAAACAAGGCATTTTTTGGCATCATGTGTGACCAGGAAAGGGACTGTGCAATGAATAAATTAAAGGCACACAAGTGAAACTGTGTTGTCAGTTGTCATGGCAACCAAATAGCTTCTATTGTTCCACAAGGAGCCTTATTACTTATTGCCCCTTGTAGGATAATTAATCCTCAGACAGCCTTTTGGGAGCAATGGCCCCGGTGCTGGGGCTGGGCAGGCTGAGGAGAGCCCCCAGCTCTCCCATGCCTTTCCCTGGGACTCCTGGTGTCTGCTGGCTGCGTGACGGTGGGGAACAAGTGCTGTCAGTGACTAGCCATTCAGAAAGTTGTTTTCCACAGGAGTCCAGCTGGAGGCAGTGCTGTGGAGAAATACAGCTCCAGTCATGATCTAAGGAGCACTCTTTGCCCTCATTCCTATGGGAGCTGTATTCCCAAAATGATGTGGTGACATTTCAGTCCTGTAGAATACAGGGTTCTCTGCAAAGGTGACACAGTTATGTCTTTATGCTGGAAGTTCCCAAACACTGATATACAGAATGCTTTGCATCTGCCTGTACATGCTATGTGTTTCCTGGTGCCTTGGTACAGAAAGTCAGTGCATCTCCGTCTCCTTGAGGGCCATGCCCAGATACTGTGCCATTTTACAGCTCAGAAGATGGAGTCATGCCAGGGTGCAGAATGTTCATAGGTATAGTGGTGGCTTTGTAATGATCTCCCAATAATGAGGGACCAAAACTACAGTCCTTATTTAAAAAAAAAAAAAAAAGGCACCTTCTTGTTCATAGCAGCTGCTGCCTGTGTGTGGTCAGCCGTATTTTCAAGCTCGCTTGCTAGAGTCATGCTTTATTGCTGTGTACTCCTCTTAGCCCTGCTAAGCAACGCTGGGCTACAGCCTCTGTTCTTGTCAGTGATTAGAAGGATTATTTGCTGAGCCAAGATCAGTGACATCAATTGAAATGCCTGGGAAAGGATGGCAGGGACCAGGCCAAATAGGTATTGGGGAGGGCACGTTTGACTGGCAGATCCTCTGGGAAGTGCTGATCCATGAAGATGAAATGTCTAGCTGGAGTCTTTTCATATCCTGTACGAATTTGCAAGTTGGAGATTTAAAGGCAGGCTGAATGGAGGAACATCTTCATAATGATGTTTAGTAGCTCAGATGATCTGCAAAGAATGGAAGGATGCCATCTCCTAGTTCTTCTTAAAGGAAATGGTCTGTATAAGTTATCTCAGGTAACTTATTTTACTTAGGTAAAATGGTAAATGCTGTTTTGCTACGGGTGGTTGAATTTCAGTAAGCATGGAACAACATGCAGGTATTTATAGATGCTTGTTGCTGTATAGTGCTATGTTCAGACCTCTTAGTGTGGCACCCAAGTTACTGGAGAGTCTAGCAGTACTTCTGACCCAGGAGAACGAAGAGCACTGGCAGCCTGGAGCTCAAGTCACTCTGCTGCTGAAGCAGCGTGCAAGTTTCTGTCCTTGTGGTACATGGCCCGAATGCTGCCCAGAGTCACTGCCAGCTTAATGGTCTGGTTCAACTAACCTGCCTTGGTGGATCCAGTTCTGATGGTATCCAGTACCACTGGTTTCAGAAGGAGCTGGAAGTCTTCCCCCACTCCTGCCTGTACTTTCAACAGACAGATGAGGACTGGCCTGGTCGGGGTATATTGTACTTGCTGCATGGTGGGACTAGGGGCTAATACTTCCAACTGCAGCTTTTTCCCTAGGTAATCTTTGGGGACATACTTTGCTAGTACCAGACAGTTCAGACTCCCTTCAAGCATTAATGAACTATTTCAATAAGGAAAACAACCAGAAGTTTGGTATGCATTTGAAATAAGAGATGGTTACCCTTCATAACGCTTCAATTTTCCTGCCCTATGAGCTGTGCAGTCCTAAACCTGCTCCCTCCTGTGTATCTGCACGCTGTAGACAGCTCGGAGCATCCAGCCGTTATAGTTGTGATTTCTTTGTGGCTCCTATAATTTATTCATCCCAAGATGCTCTCCTACATCTGCAATAACATTGTTTCAGTTTGTTATAGCACTAGCTTTAAAGTTTTATAAACCTGGTGACAAGTTGAAAAGCTACGAGAAGATGGCTGTAGA